TCCAGCGCCGGCGGAAGCGGCGGCCTTGGGACACGCCATTCGCAGCGCCCGCTCCAGGACGGGGGGGGGCACCACAATATCATACCTTTTTTCTTTCAATACTCCACTCGTCTCATATTTGTGTTAGTTTTAACATATTAAACCTTTATTGCAAGAGTAACCCTTAGGCCTCAGGTGGCGAGACTTGGGGCGAGGGCCGTCTCTTTCCTACATTCCGTCCCCGCCCCTCCCCGGCAGATGGTATCGCCCTCGGTCTCCCCCCGCCCACGCGCTCCGACTCCAATTTCAAGATGGCGGCCGCCATGGCGGAGCTTCTGCGGCCCGGCCGTTACGGCTGCTGCTGAGCGGGCGTCAGCTTTCCTCGCTCTCGAACCGGGATTCAGCGAGGGGTTGGGAAGGGCAGTGGACGGCGTTGGGGGGAGGACGGACGAGGCAAGTGCGGGCGAGGAAAGGAGTGAGCCTCGGGATGGGGGAGGGGGCGTCCTGGGTGGCGGGGAGTCTGCTCCCACCCTGCCTCCGCCGGGAAGGGCTCCGGGGGTTTCGGATGCGACTGTCCGGCTCGATCTTGGCCCAAGTGCTCAGCGAGGGAAGGAGAAGTGACGTCTCCGAGGGTCTTTGGCGGCCGTCCGTCCGATTCCCGCCTCCGCACCCCCCTCCGGCTGCTTCCCTGCGCCGTGCAGCTGGCGGGGCTGGAGGCGTTCATCCGACGCCCGCTTTGGCTCCTGAGCCTCGTGGCTGCCGTGTTCTCCGCCTCCCCCTCGGCGTTTCCCCGTCGTCTCGGGGTGAGAGAGCAGGAGGCTGCTAAGCACTGGGAATAAAGCAGGCATCCTTTTTGGTGAAAGTGGGCTCGGTCCTCCGAGTCTCCCGCTCCCCGGCCGCCTTCCATCTATTTTACAGGCTCCTAAGCCGACAGGAGGTCACACCAGCCATACCCCTGGCGAGGCTGAGCTCCTGTGACCTGGCGGACCTGAGTTATCAATTGCCCATCTCCTGATTTTTAAAATGCACACCCCCGCTGATCCTGTTAGGAAATCACTTGCTCTTCTGGAAGTGACCCGGAAGAGACTCCGCATTCAGCTCAGGGGCCAACAGGACCCCTTCCTGTCCCCTTGCATTTTGCAGAATTCCCCTTGGTTGTCATTGACATGCAGGGTCATTATTGAGAGAGAGAGAGAGAGAGAGGGGAACTGATAGACAGTTGCAATGAAACACTGTCCAGAAGGCGTTTATGATGTGGCTAGCGTTCATTCCTAGCCTCAGTGCACTTTTACGTTGCTCTGAGTGCCGCCGCGCTTGGTATTGGCGATACCTTTACTCCTGGTGCATTCAGTATCCATTCAACAGGTATTTTTTGTCCCCAGTTTGTGCTAGGTGAAAATACCTACCTGAGAACACCAAAAAAAGCTTTATTACGGAGTACATATTTGAGCTGGGTCCTGCAGGGACAGAAGGAATTCACTAGATTCCAAGAGAAGGTCATTCCTGCAGGGAGGACTGGAATGCAAAGATTTGAGATTTGACTCAGTAGTTAGGAAGCCACGGAATGCTTTGCGCAAGGAAGGGGCATGAGTATATTTGTTCTTTTTAGAAGATGGCAGCTGTGTTATGGAGGATCAGCTTGGAACAGGAAAACTAGATGAGAGGAAATTGCAGTCATTCAGGTAAGGGAATGAGTGCCCCAGTTGGGGTAGGAGAGTTAAAGGATGTCAGAGAGACATTTCTGAAATGTCAAATAGGATTCACCTGGTGGCAGCCCATGTGATGGTAAGAGGGTGACTCCAGAGTGTTTAGTCTGGGAGGCTCAGTGGTGGGTGATACCATTAAAACCAAGCCTAAGACATGTACATAAAAACGGAGCGGTGCCAACCTGCATCTCGGAGTGGCAGAACACATGCTCTGCTTTCGGAAGCAGTGATTTGAGAGTAGACCTGTGCTATTACAGTAACCAGGAGCCACATCTTGAAATTGTAATTAGACCAAATTGAAATGTGTTGTAAATATGAAATACACACTAGCTTTCAAAGACTTAATACAAAAAAGTAAAATATCATTAATTTAGTAATGATTACATGTTGAAATAGTACATATATATTGGATTAAATAAAAGTATATTAAAATTAATTCCACCTGTGAAACTTTAGCATGGCTCTGAAAAAACTTGAAATGACATTTGTGGCTTGCATTATGTTTTTGCGGGGCTAACCTGTGGTAGTCTGGACTAATGATAGAGGAATTAGTATGGAAGTGGAATTTGAGCTGTGTCTTGAGATGGTGAATAGTGATGTCAAGGCGGCTTGCTGGCACCCTCCATTGCCAGTGAAGGCATTCAGATTTCTGTGTTGTTGTTTTCTTCAAGCAGTAGGAAGCCTGCCTAGATTTCTGAGCAGGGGATAATGTGTGCAGGGGTGTTTCTGAAGATTAATCTGGCTGGAATGTTTAAGTCAGGGGTCCTCAAACTACGGCCCACGGGCCACAAGCGGCCGGCCGAAAACATTTATCCGGCCCGCCGGGTGTTTTTGCCGCCGCTGCCTGTCCTGCTCAGCAGCCAACTCGTCCCGGGCCCGCAGTACACATGTGTGGAACGTTTGAGGGACAGTGAACTGGCCCCCGGTCTAAAAAGTTTGAGGACCTCTGGGTTAAGTTGAGATAAGGGCAGAAAGACTGGAGGCTAGGAAACAGAAACCCTGCGTTAAGGTACTGACAGTAGGAATAGAAAGAATGACTTATGTGCAAGGCATTCTGAGGGAAAACTAACCAGAAGTTGGTAACAGACTGTTCAAAAAGAAGTTAAAAAAAGGAATTAAACATGTAGAGTTACAAGTGTTGGTTACTTAGATAATGATGAATTCATGTCTTAGACCTAAGAAAGTACTAGAGGCCCGGTGCACGAGTTCGTGCATGGTTGGGGTCTCCCGACCTGGCCGGAGATCGCGGCCAAGCGGGGCCTCTTGGGGGGGCGGGGGACTGCAGTAGGTTGGCTGTGGGAGTGCACTTACCCCCAGGGGGCAGCTCCTGCATTGAGCATCTGTCCCCTGGGTGGTCAGTGCACGTCATAGCGACTGGTCATTTGGTCGACTGGTCTTAACGGTCTCTTAGGCTTTTATATATATATATAGATTTTGGGGGCGAAAGAAATATAGCCTCAAAAAAGAACCAATAAAGTTGAAAGGATGAAGTAGCCTGCTAAATACTCCCTCTTTTTAATCTCTCAAATTTCTTTACCTTCTTATCAATCATATACATCACCAATATCCCTAAAATAAAGTTACCTGGGTCATGTCATCTTCCTACTTGACCATGGATCTTAAAATGTTTCTCTGTTGCCTGTAGAACTAGGTCCAAAGTTCACAGGCCTTTCACTATCTGGCCCTTTTCTATTCAGATGCCAGCTAGTTTCTTCACTGGTAGCCTGTAATTTTTTTTGTTTTGTGCCTTTGATCATTTTACTGTTTTGTATACCTTTTCTCTTTGTCTCTTTCTACCCAGGTCCTACCAATCCTTAATAACTTAAGATTCCACCTTTTTTATGATTTTCAATAACATAAGCTATTATCAATTTAAAAAGTCTTATGTCCTAAACTGCATATTTCAGCCTCTAATTATAACCAATTTAGTATATTATTACTTTTGTTTTTTATTATGTCTTTTATTATCTTATCCCTATTTGTTTTATGTCAGCTCAAGCTTCCTAAAATTATGACAGGCTTCTTTTTTTTAAATTGATTTTTTAGAGGGAGGGAGGAAGGGAGAGAGAGAAACATTGATGTGAGAGAGGCACATTGATTGGTTGCCTCCTGTCCTGTGCCCCAACTGGGATAGAACCTGCAACCTTCTGGTGCACTCCATTATGCTCCAACTAATTGAGCCACACTGGCCAGGCATGACAAATTTCTTTTTTTGAAAAAAGATCATATATCATACTGTTTGTTGCTGCTCACAGTGTTTATTGTAGGGCAAGACATAGAAATTAAACATCATAATTAAAACTGAAGTAAGTCATTATGCCACATTCATTAATCTCTTATTTATATTTTAGATTTGTAAAGAGCTCTTACTTTGAATTCATGGTGTTTCATCGTATATAGGACTGAGATATCAGTAAGTAATGAATGTCTAATAAAGATCTGGCTTTATTATATTCTGAGAAGTTGTAATAAAAATACTTTTTGTGTGGTGAAATCAGGGTCTGTCTTCAGAAACGTTTACCATGAACTCATTCAGTTCTATCTGCAAAGTACTTTGTGTTTTCACTTCATGATGGAAGTAAAGTGGGAGATCAGGTAGATTTGAGACGAAGAGTTTCTCTTCGGCCGTTAACAAATCGTAGTGGGTGTGTTACCTGCTGTTGCATTGGCTCCAGCTCCTGGTGACTCTGTAAATGAGTGGTGTCCACAGTGTTCTGCTCAGCTCCTGCAGACTCACGCCTGTGGCTTCTTCTCTGGGGTCAGCCCATCTCATATTTGGTTTCCTCTTTTCCTGCTGCTTTCTATTTTTCCCAGGAGATTGCCACTTTCAAAGAGCCCTGCCTTCTCATGATGGATGTGAAGTAGGACAGCCTTAGTGTTGTCTTTTTTTTTGGCCTCCAGTGATGTTTCAGGCTTAACTTGTTCTAAAGCCCACTTGTTCAGATGAATCAGTGTTTTCCTATTAGCTTCTTCACTACCCAACTTTCACATCTGTACATAGTAATTGGGAATATGAGGGCATGGGTGACCTTAGCCTTGGTCTCAACACACCTTTACTCTCGGTGATTTTTGTTTTTTAATATATTTTTATTGATTTCAGAGAAGAAGGAAGAAGGAGAGAGAGATAGAAACATCAAAAATGAGATAGACTCATTGAATGGCTGCCTCCTGCACACCCCACACTGGGGATCAGGCCTGCAACCGAGGCATGTGCCCTGACCGGGAATCAAACGGTGACCTAGTTCATAGGTCGACACTCAACC